ATCTGTTAGAACAAATCTTGCTAAACATCACCTAATCCCAACTGCCAGCCCACTCTACTGGGAACTCGGTAGCCGGATTACAGTATCTCGGCTGCCAACGGCCATGCTGCACTTCAAGCCCAAGCGTTCCAATAACCAAGCTCATTGAAGACCGAGCGGCTGCATCGCGACATAGCCGAGCTCGGGACAACTCATACTAGTTTGCCACCGGCCTTTCTGCTGAGCTAAATCATGAACCGTGGGTCCTACACGCCTTCCCTGGCGCCGGTCATCCCACTTCACTGGCTTCTACACCATGGAGCTACGTAGCTCGGTCCAACCACGCCTGGCCTGGCGCCGGACATCTCTCTTGACCGGCTTCTATACCATGAAGCCAAATAGCTCGGTCCGACCACGCCTTGCCTAGCGCCGGACATATCGCTTGACCAGCTTCTATACCATGAAGCCAAATAGCTCGGTCCGACCACGCCTTGCCTTAACCGAGCAAAACCTTTCAGGATAGGCCCGTTTCACCGCGGCCCAAACTTGTTCAGCCCTAATCTGCCCGGCCATTTCCACGGCCCAAACCAGACCATAAATCTCCCTCTCATTTATAATAATAATTTATAATAGCAAATAATAATCAACTATATAAGATGATTACTTTTTTACTTTAATTCTTAAAATTTATTTTTTTTATTTTAAGGTTTAAGATTTAGGGTTTAATTCTTAATTTCTTTTTATTTTAGGGTTTAGGGATAATTTTTTTATTTTATTTTAGAGTTTAGGGTTTAATTCTTAAAATTTATTTATTTTTATTTTAGGGTTTAGAATTTATAATTTAATTCTTAAAATTTATTTTTTTTTATGAATCCTAAACCCTAAAATAAATTTTTATTTAAAAAATAAATTTCAAGAATTTATAAATTTTAAAAATAATTTTTTTTTTATAGTTTAGTTGATTATTATTTGCTATTATAAATTTTTATTATATATATTTAATATTAGTCTCAATTTTATGAAATAAAATTTATATATATTAAAAATTATATATGTTTGATGTGAGTGTGTGTGAGTGATGTGTGTGTGAGAGAGAGAGAGAGAGAGAGAGAGAGAGAAAAGAGTGTGAGTGCGTGATGTGATTTTGTTTTTTTATTGAAAACGTGTTTTCAAAACACGTTTTTACGTTGCACTATTATTTAAGCCTGAAAACGCTAATAACAACAACATTTTTTTAATTAAAAGCGTGTTTCATAACTATGCTTTTACAATTTTATTCATTTTGTGCGCCTGGGTCAGAAACAAGCTGAAAGCGTGTTTTGTAAACACGCTTCAGCTTATTCTGGGAATTTCGGCCAAACTAGACTTAGTTTGGGAAAAAAGCTTAGTGGGTAGGCTTAGTTTGGGAAAAGCCCTTGACTTTGGTGGTGGTTTGTTAAAATTGAAAATTAAATGTTGAATTTTTAAGATATAAAATTGTTTGATAAAAATTTAAATGTTGAATTAAAGTGAGTTATTTAATATGTACAATGATATCCAATTTGAAAATTATTATTTTCAAACTGTATCTTACAATTTTTATATTGTGATAGTAAAGTGGTGGTGGTGGTGGTGGTACTGGTGGAGGTGCGAACAGTAGTTATAGCATCGATGGTGGTGGAAGTAGCAAGATAGTGGTAGTGGTGATGGTAGAGGATTAGAAGTGTAAAGATGGTCTGAGGTTTGTGGGCGGCTCGAGGTGGGCCCGACTCATTTCGGCCCAGTTAGGTTCGGACCTGAGCCCAACCTAGGGCCTTGGGGTTGGGCCTTTTATTTGAAGCCCTGCTCGACCCACAAAGCCCTCTCTTCGCCAACGGTTAAATTTCAATAAATAAATAAAAGGCAAGTTGCAAGTTGCAACTAATGGTTAAATTATTTTTAAAAATAAAATAAATAAAATAAAATAAAATAAAATGAAGGTTGATCTTGTTGTGAAACTATGGTAAAAAAATAAAAAATAAAAAAAATAAAACCGGTCATTTCTTTGAAATGAGGCAGAGCTGATGTCTGCGTTCTACCCTACAGGGGTAGGATTGACTCAAAATCAATTTACTAAGATCATTTACCAAGTTAGGGGTAGGACTGAGTTAAAATCAATTACCAAGATCATTTACCAAGTCAAGGGTAAAACTAACTCAAAATTAATTACCAAGATCATGTACCAAGTCATTTCCTTGCAGGCTGCCAGTGCCACCCTACCTCTGCCCCCTTGGGCCTTGCATACCCCTACCCCCTTTGGCCTTGGCTTGTCGTCATGTCATGCAGCATCATCACTCACATCATGACTCATTGCAATTTGCAATGAATGAAAAAAAAATATATATATATATATATATATTTAAATAATCTACATTTATTTTATTTAATAATATAAAATTTTGTAATATTTTATTTCATTTTGAAATAAAAATTATTCATTCAATAAATATTATCTATTTAATTTAATGATTGCAATATTGCAAGTTTCATTTTGATATGTTTTATATATATATATATATAATTATTCATTTTAAAAGAAAAAAAGTTAAATAATTATATACATTTTTAATCATAAGTTCATAATTAAAAAAAATATATCATACATAATTAAATTTAAATACCACCATGAAATATTACCAAACAAAATATCTCATTAATTTTAACTAAAATACTCTAGTATACCCGGCTTGTGGCCCAAGCCCAGGCCCTAAGCCCGATCCTATTCTGTGTAAGCTTGGGCTTGGGCCTGATTCCCACTTTTTGGCCCATGTGCCAGCCCAGCTCGGCCCGCCAAAAAAGCGAGAGCTCGTGAGGTCTGCTTGGGTTGGGCCGGGCCATTATTACATCCCTATAAAGGATTAATGCATGTACGCAAGGTTTTAAAAAGCGACTGCAACCATTACTTAATGGTTGTGGTGGTTACTGCCACCCATTAGGGCCATTAGAGCGGTGTGATGGAAATTTACATATGTAATGGCCGTTTCAGTGTTATGTAACAGCTGTAGCGGTACCGTTACACCCTTTTACAATATTCTAAATAGCTTCTTTTTTCCAAAAAAAAAACAAAAGTTTACAGAAAAGGAACAAATACAAGTTATTCAAGCCCAAAGAAAAATCTTATATGAATTTTTTTTTTTTATAATTTTTTTTAATTTATGGCACAATTTTTATTTTATAATCCTTTCATTTAATAATTGTGAATATTTTTTATTCAGTTAGTTCAGGTATTGATAAAAAAAAATTTATAGACATTTAAAATTAATTATTCTTAAAGTCATTGACTATTGAAATAAAATGTAAAACGCTCAATTTATAGTGTTTTGGAAATATGAAATATATTGGATCATAAAAATTAACAAAAATTGATCAAAATTTATTTTAAACCCCAATAAATGTGATTCTGAAGAAAAAAAATATGTATCGGTAAGTTTTTTTCAAATTGTGCAAAAAATTAAAAAAAAAAATACGATTTCAGTTACCGCAACTATTACACTACGACCTTTATACCCCGCAGTCGCTATCGCGTCACTGCAACTACTTTTCAAAAACTTGCATGTACATAAAAGGTGAGTGGAGATGGTGGTATAATGAGGGTGATGATTGTTGTGGTTATGGTAAATGTGAGAATGATTATGATGGTGGAGAAGTGGTGATAATAGCAGTGACGATTGTGGTAATGATAGTAATAGTAGTGGCCATGGTGGTGGTGGTAGCAGAACTGGTGATTGATGCAATGATAAAATTATAACGGTATATGTTGACGTTTATGCACAAGTATTTATAAATTAAATTATTATTAAGTTTCATATCACTTAAAATTTTATTAATTTTAACTTACATTTTAATAATTACTTAAATTTTTAAATAATACCAATTATAATTATCAAATAAATTTTATTTATTTATTTAATACGCTACTGCTAAATTAAGTTGTCAAATATCACCTCACAACAATTGAGGCGTTGCCCTACTGGATATGCTGCTCGGGTTCAAATCTCTGAAGCAAATTTAATTAAACTTTTGAGAAAATATTATGTGCAATTAAACTTTTTCATAGGTTTTATACATATTACATACCCAGATTTTGATCTACTAAAGTCAAATAAATGAAATTCACGTGTATTTATAAATATGAATCTTACTACAAATTAATGGGATCTAAGTTTTGTTCTTTACCAATCATTCTTTCTTAGTACTTCTTAAGCTTTAGAAAGAAAAGTAAATTCCTTTCTATTTGCTATATATAGTACCATATTTGAATTTTAAATTTGCAGATGATAGAAACTTTTACTTCATTCACTTTTGTTTCCAAAATCTCTGGACAAGTTCAAAATCCAAACATAGTGAGTCCATAGGGAAAATGGTTACTTAAAAGGCTCAGAAAAATATGAATCCCATTTTTAAGAAACCTGAATGCAGATTGGCAACCCTAGCATGCACATGCAATTAATTTTTTAAAAACCAAACACCACTTGTGTGATGTCTTTTTTTTTTTTACCAACACATTTTCATATAAGAACTCATAATAAAAAAATAAAATAAACACACACACACACACACACACTAGCAATGAAACAAGGGAAACATCTGAAGTCTTTCCAGAAAGTGGCCAACGAAAAGTTACTGAAAAAATAAAAAAACAAACTATTTACCTGCGAGCCTATATTAGGTTTGTCAAGGCACTTGCCTCACTGCTCTGGTTGTCCTCAAGGCACTTTTTAGGCTAGCACGACTTCATTGCAAAGTTCTATTTTCTGGCCAGCAAATTTCTTCTCTCAGCAAGATCCACTGACCAACTAAAAGTGTAAAAAGATGACGATTAAAATGATCAAACAGGTGACGGGAAATCATCCCTCTGTGGCAATTCAAGCAAAACAATTGAATGAAGAAATAGGGATGCGAGGAATGTACCATTTCAATTTCTGAATGTGAAAGAAATCCCTGATAAGTAATATTCTATGGAACATCTGATTCAGGCTTCTTTGAAGAGAAAAAATGAAAACGTTCAAATGAAAGATAATGCATATACGAGGGATAATTAACTACTGCAATGACATAAGCTACAAATTCTAACATATATTGCACGACTAACAGCCAAACGTGTCATTTAAACAAGCTGATTTTGGTGTAAATTATAATACAGACATCTCTCCTTCTCAAGAGGTAAACTAGGTTTTACCAGCTGCAATCCAGAAACCAAGAAGAGACTCTATGCTAGTCAATTTAATGACAGGTAAAGAAAAAATGGTCAAATTATGACCTAACTCTAGCAAGTCGGGCCCTTATTTCTTCGAGTTCTTCCTCATCATCAGCACCCTCAGCTATTGCTTCATCCTACAAAAATAGAATGCATAATTTAAATTCATTAGCTTCCTTCAAAGCAAATGATAGGCCAAAATGGAAAATGCATATCAGATGATAGAATTGTTGCATATACCTCCAGCTCAGCTCCTGCCACCCTGGCCGGTTGCTTTAATTTCTCCTTCCTGACTGCTTCCGGAAGCTGAGCAGCAGTCTCACCAGCAAGTGCAGTCAAGACCTTGTCAACCTCTTCTTCAATCTCCTCTTCTATATCCTCTGAATCCAGTGCTGAGTCAACAGCATCATTTACTGTCTCCTCAATTATCCCCGACTACAAATCATAAATGTGACGAGATTAGTTTGAACCCTTTGAAGTTAATATGAAGACCCAATACCATATGTGTTTTTTGACGATCAGATGGTTTGCAAAACATCTATCATTCATAATTAACTAGCAAGTACCATTAGCTATTGGTGTATCTCAAAATTCATGGGGTACTATACAACATAGTTGTCAAATCGAGATTCGAATTATGAATCGAAATGACCTCGTACTGAATTGCGAATCGAATCGAATTGAATCAAATCAAATCATAAATCATAAAGATTCGGTCACTTTTTCTAAATTACTTAGAAAAATATATCTACACCCTTGGATGTTAAATATATTTTATGAATATGAAATATCTAGACTTAAATCAATGAAAATTTTGTTTTGAATGATGGTCACATAGTTTAATAGATAAGAAGTTAACAAAGGTTCCTATGTAAGATCACTATCTTACCTTCTTTTTTTTTTATTTATAGATATTTCTTATTAATCATTCTTAATAAAGATAGTAAGTAAAGACAAACTCTTAATTCCCAAAGTAACAATAATTTAACAACAATATTGATATTTAGACAATAAGCATACATATTTTTCCAAGTAACAATGACCAAATAATAGAATTATTTAGGATATTTTATTTTAAAACCTAAAACATTTTAAATGTATAACTGATCTCACTCATGTAATATTCAACTATATTTAATTTAATAAAATAGCAATAGATAATTCATTGTGTAAGTTACTTTAATCTTAAAGAAGATATATTATGATTTTTTAAGGAAAAAAAATGAAAGGTTAAAAATATGTTTGGGTCTAACTGAATCTGATTGGATCCTATTAAAAATTCCATGATCACTAAAATAGCAACAAATCATGTATATGTATTGGTTATTTTGGTACTAAACGCTATTAGAAGTTGTATTACGTCATTTTTATTAAAAGATGGAGAAAAAAAATAGTAAAAAATATGTCGGATACAATAATTTTAAGAATTGCATGAATCGTTAAAAGTAAATCGAATCATGAATTAATTATGAATCGTGTGATTCACTATAGATTCACTTCCAAAAGAGATTCACCTATAGATTCGAATCAATTTTGCAAAAATTACAAATCGAATCGCAAATCGTAAGATTCTAATAACAGAGCTATACAATGAAATGTAGACAACTGAGTTTGATTTCTTTGAACTTCACATTCCACAAGTTTATCATTTAAAACAAGTCATCACCACATGAATAAAATGATAAATAAACGATGGCAATTCCAAGGGGAATTAAGCCAATGAATTTTCAGCCATGTAGCATAGACAAGGATATGATACAGGACATGGACACAACAGAACATGGACATGCAGACATGGCACATCTTAAATAATTAGGACACGAAATGACAAGGACATAGTAAGATATTAATACATTTATGTATCTATACTCGTTAAAAGAAAATATTTATGTATCATTTATGGATGTTATATAAGAAAATTATATAACATAATTTATTATTTATATATTCTACTTACAATTGCCAGTTGTGGAAGACAGAGATTCAAAAATGTGATGAATATAATGTTTACTCCTATTGCTTGCTTTATTACTACATTCTTTTTTCTTTTTCATAAGAAAAGAAAAGAACAGAAACTGTCGCAATAATTTTGATATGGTAGAAGTTGGCTAAAAATTGGTCATGCAAATGATGCACCCATTTTACAAATGTTTAAATACATATTTGGGGTGCATGAGTATGCTGAACATTGTTTCTATTAAGAGATTCACTACATAAATCATGTCCTATAAGTGTTGCCTAAGTGTTTGTGAAGCACTGTCAAAGTCTTCGCGAAGTGTTGCCGAAGTGTCTGAAATTTTGAAAATTTTATTTTGAATTGGAGATGTTAAGAAGTGTCAGACACAGTTCTAAAAACGTTTCAGAAGTGTCACTGACTTGCATATTTTTAATATGGACATAGCTCCTCCAGAAGTGTTCATGCTACTTAGATTTGAAGTAGCATTTTCACATAAAAGTTGGTAGTGTTTTATAAAAGTAATTAAATATAATATTTGGTCAGTATATAGGTGTAAAATTTTCAAAACCAAAACAGACCGTTCATTATGAAAAAAAACTGAAAATCAAAATTTTGGTCGGTCTTACACTCCATTTGTTTCGGCGAAAAACTTTTTCCACAAAATATTTTTTGCATGAAACGTTTTCATATGTTTGGTTGCGTCTCTGAAACTAATGTACTAAATGTTGTATTAGTAGAGGTGGTGGGGTGGCGGCGACAGTGGGGGTAGTGATGGTGGAGGTGATAATAGCGGAAATATGCACATCTAAAATAACAAGTGTGTTTCAATGCAAATGCAATGCAATGCAATAAAAAATTCCACCATCTCTCACAGCTAAACAGATCTTTGATACTTCGGTTTTTGAGAGTTGGTAAAACATACCTTTATCATTTCCTTGCTAAATTCTTGCATTGTGATACCAACTTCTGGGGCCTTCATGAGGTTATTGACAAGCTTCATGACCTCAGCACTCTTGGACAAATGCCCCACTGTGCGGGCAATTGCTGCAAATCAACCAAAGATATTGATGAAAGAAATCTCAAACCAACCTCCAAGATAATTTTCAATATTTGAGGAGGTTCAATCAAATAACTAATCAAGAAAACAAACTAGATAATGGACAAATGGAGAAAACAGATACATAAACAGTTTAGATATTAATCACTTGCCTATTATTTGTTAATTAGTCAAAGCTGCTACCAGTTGCTTACAATATTACATGTGAATTAGGCAATTACAGTTAAGGAAGTCTTACGTACTTTTCTTTCTAATTTGCATAATTTTGTTTTTCCTATTGAGGCAGATCTTTAGCATTAGGATGTCTTGCGTACTTGTGCATGAAGTTTGGTTTTAATGGCATACATTACAATTTCTATAAAATGCTGGTATGTGTGTATGTTGTGTGTGAACATAAACTTCTTAATCTGATGCTCAGGTAGCACTTCCTCTCTAAAATTCTTTCAGACTTGACAGCTTTCCCACTTACTCACGGTATAAGTGACTTAGGTTGCAATCTTAGATTAGTACACTTTAAAAACAATTGTACCTCTTTTTTTTTTCTTTCCCAAAAGGTTACTTTTTATTAGAAGTCAAGGTCAATCTTTTCTCAGATTAATGTTATTTTCCAATATTATTTCTTATGCCAAAAATTCGCAAGGGCATTCGCCTTCCGCCAGTTGTAACAGCTCAGCTGGTTAGCAAATTTAGCAGGCTTCTCATTTCATATAAATTAGCACTAAATTAAGAAATTTGGTCTCGACCATAATTGGACAGTTATATACTTGGATTGAAACAGACATCGTGTCTAGAAAAGAGAAATGCATATGATAAAGTATAAGATTAAAAATATATATTAATGGTCTGCACAAACAACTTGCAATGCACGGAAACCCATAATGATTATTCTAGAAGGTAATAAGAGTGTCTTCAGAATACAAGAAGGTAGTGTAAGAGAAATCTGAACAGATGAAGAAAAAAAATTCCACTATGTTGAAGACAGCTAATTTGGAGGGAATTAGATTCGAGTGACCTTTCTGATACAAGGATAGTGGAGGAAAAATCAGAAGTCACACATTTCCCAAAAACTATGCATGCTGAAAATTATTCAAATGGGCTCACAAACAATGTAAGAATACTCTGATGATAGAGATGCATATTGGTTGATTTCTTCACCTCTTAGTCATAACTAGTAAGCATTGAGATAATTAATGTTTAATGAATGTCTTCCCTTACTACTTAGGCAATTGCACAATTGATCACTAGAGAAGCCCAACATATGAATGTCTAATGGGAAGAGGTTTAGTCACCTCATATTTGCTTCTGAACTTGATGACCTAGATGGCATAGGAATACGTGATGAAGTATAAAAAATAAAATAAAAAACAATTTCTTTGAGGAGAACATAGGCATGTAGCAATTGGGCATGTTGATATTTGTTCCAAACTAATTATTCATATGTCCCCTAAATTTGCTCTGAACAATTTATGTTAAGCAATTAATGTATGAGATGTGCACTAGAGTTTTGCCCTCATTGATGAATAGCACACTTTTAACAATTACTTTTGTGTAACAACACTGACCAGGTTTTACTTCATTGAGAAATGAAATAGAGTACTTCCATCTCCAGCTTTAACTCAGACAGAGCTCCATTTATTTTATTTTTTAAATTCAAGAGAAATTTTTTGAAGGGGTGATAAAATTCAAATAAGAAAGTAAACCATAAACTTAGATATGTGAAACATTGTACCAACGCTCTCCCCAAGGTGCATTGATATTGAATTTAGCTGTGCCTTGTTCTCATAAAGACGGTTCACAGTTTGTCTAGACCTCACAATCTCCTTAGCAAGTGCCTGAAACAAAAATTCAAAAGGTTGTATAAATAAAAAGAAACAGAAAGATAATTGAAATTTAAAACAAGTAATGAATGCTTTAAGATTACAACAATTCTTTATTGCCTATAAAATTCAGCAGATTTAATATATGCACAGATTGCTTGAGCGACCAAGCCACCACTCGAGCATCAAACACAATAAGTTGGTTTCAGTTAGTCCTATTTAATGTTTCCTTTGGTATTCTTCTGGTCTAGTTGTAACGGCTTTTATAATATGTTGGCGTTGAGAGTATTTCAGAGATCTCATATTTTGTACATCTGAGTTGTAGCAGAAGATCATGAAGTTTATCTGGTGAGTAGATGGTTTGTCTGTGTTCTGGAGCTTTTACGCAGGGTGCTAAAACGGTCTAGACAGGATTCAACATTCGAAGTCCTTGGTACCTGATTGCAGAGTCTCAATGCAATTAGAATTAGGAGATATTCTGCAACCAATAATTTGAATTCCATAAAGATAAGTTTAGACAACTAAAGAGCTCAACTTTGCTCCATGGTACCTAGTGGTCTAACCCAATCTAAATGGTGTCCATTGCAGGCCTTTGCATGCACTCAACATTCTAGCATCAGACTGCTCAGATTAGGGGAATGTTAATGGTTCTAAATTTTAGCTTTTCATGGCCCCATGGATGCCCAAAATATATTGTCCACCATGTCATTACATGTTATGCCACATGAACTCAAACCTATGCATTGGATTTGACCCTTTCCTAGTTGATTGAAAGCATTTAAGAAAGATGATTTGAAAACATAAATTGGTATTATTAGGTATTGGTTTTGTTTGGAGGTCGTAGCCCAAACCTCCTAGCAAAATCAATCATCACTTAACCCACACTTACAAGACACTCATCAAAACCAGGAGGAATTTCCACTGCAATCTAGTGTATGGTCCTTTCAATCTTCCACTCAATATATTCCCATCTATAGTATCACGAAGGAAAATTTTCCTCTCCTTCGAAGTATTCTTCTTCAAGGCCAATTTTCAGCATGTTCAAAGGTTCTTAGTTGCTTTCTAAACCGTGCATACAAACTTTCCACATGTTCCCATTAGTGAACCATTTGCACATCTAGTGACAAATATAAAATATTCAATCATTCAAATGAACTCAGCTTTTTAATTTGTCGGGCTTACTGTCCTCTTCCAAGATAACCACTAGCATGTCAACATGGACAAATGTAAAATCTCATCTCCTCACGTTATCGACTGCACCGATAGTGTTAGTGCATTAGGTCACCAAAGATCTCCTTTGAGATTTGGCTGACAACAATTTTATTCGAGATAGCATGATTCTCGACAATTACTATAATTACTAGAGAATCCAGGTCGATGTAATGCTACGGATGCCTCTTTCTCTTTTAAAAGTCTTATTTGTTTCTTTATTTTTCTCTCCATCTAAATTAACCCATAGTTATTTTCTCAAAGTTTTTGGGGTTTATTTTTATCTGAAGCGCAATTTTATGTGTATTTGACTTGTAATGTAACTAGTAGCAGGCACTATCTGTTTGTTATCATCACAGTTCATGGAAGTAGAATTTAGCTGATATTAAAGGATGGGGATTACCTTAGCAGAGCCCATGTCATTTCTCTTGGCAGCTTCTTTAATTGCTTTCTGTACGCTCTTCTCTTCTCTCTGTATATCTACGCAAAAAACACACACCAAACAAGCAAAAACTGAACGAATTCAACAACCTAAATACAGTATTTGTAAAATAAAAATAAAAATAAAAATCGTAACTTTCCAGTCTCAAAGCATAATAAATAAATAAACAAATAAAAGCACCTCGGATTTGGCGTTCGATGTTGCGGCACTCTTGGCGGAGACGACGCTGCCAGTCCCTCAATTGCTGTTGGGGGTTAGGTTTCGGCTTCAATACATTCATCATCTTCTCCATCTCTCTCTCTCTTTTCCTAGCTCTCACCAAGCTCCCAATAGTATTCACAGCCAACTTCAAGTCCTCTAATGGATTCCCAAGTGCAACCTTCTTATACAAATAACTATCAAAAGTCATCTTCTGCACATACTCGTCGGTGCACATTTCCATAAACGCCTCTAATATTATCATAGACATACGCCAGTAGATATTATTATCATAAACCTACACCACAGGATATTCTTTATGAAGAAGATTTCTTTCATAGTCAGAACTCTTATAATGGAAAAACCATTTATGAATGAAATATAGATGGTTATTCTGAATATCAGATATTTGAATGTATACATCAAATTATTATGTATGCCACTATTTGTAAACAGAATAATAATTCTGACCATCAGATAGTTAAATTCATTGTCAATGGTTTTACAGGTATCCTCAAAGGATGGTGGGATAATGTTCTCACTCCCACTCAACAGAATGAAGTCTTAAATGCTACTAAAATTGAAACCGATCCAGTTAGTAATACTATTACTCGAAGAGAGGATTCAGTTTTTTTTTTTTTTTTTTTTTTGGGTGAATCTGCATAAAGAAATCTGTTTCTTCTACTTATTAGATCCCACCCATCCCTGCCCTTTTAACATAGTATATAGAACAGAGTTACATGTCATAGGCAAGATCAAATAAAAAGTCATTTAACATTGTAGCAGAGAGTAGTAAAGACATCATGAATATGAGATTAGGTGTTCAAAGATGCATAGTGTGGTTAAACAAAGAGAAGCAAGCTCAACAACAAAGAGAGCAATGTAATTCAAGTAAAAAACAGCATAACTACAAAGATAAAATGTAGACACAAGTAACAGATACAAATCCAATTGAACGGAAAAAAGAAAAAAAGGTTTCTGCATTGACAACAAATGACAAATAGTTGCAAGGTATGATTTCCAAGAACACAAGCATACTTGAAAGACATCCATTATATCATAGCAAACTTCCAATGTGTAAGTTGCAGTTGTTTGAATAAATAACCAACCTTAGCTCGCACATGAATGAATGTGACTTGTGCTGATGAAGAATTGAAATGGCTATATTTTTTTCCCAAATACTGCACTGCTAATTTTTTTGCTTGATAATACTGGAATATAGAAGGAAAAGAATCAATTGGATAATTTCAATTAGAATTGCTAATGCCTCTAGCCTCTGGTAGATTTTCACATGCAATTGTTCAATGTGCTACTTTAAAACCATTGTGAAAGCAACCAACCAAACATATCAGATAATTATGTCGCTTTAAGTTGTGTTTGGTTCATGGATTTAGAGAGAGATTTGGAAAGGAAAAAGAAAAAATGCATGAAGGGAATTACAACAGAAACTGAATTGCATACATTATAAACAACAACATTCTGATGCTATATTCAAATCTTGGATTTATGAAGGGAATTACAAATGAAATTAAAGAAATAAATACGGCTTCTTTCACTTTATTTTTTTCCCGTATTTTCCATTAGGTCCACAAATTCATAATCCAAACCTTAATGTAGTATTTGATTCATAGATTTGAGAAGAAATTTAGAAAGAAAATGAAAAAATAAGTAAAATGTAAATGAAATATAATTACATTTCCTCTAAGTTTTACACACATTTTCCCTTCTCGTTTGCAAATCTCTTTCCACATCTATGAACCAAATACAATGTGCTTGATTAAACTATGCAAAATTTGAACCTTAAATTATACACCAACCTTTCTTCATTCAAAAAAAAAAAAAAACAGGGAAAATTTCACAATTATATAAATCTGCCTCAAATATACATCATCAGTTTCTTCATGTTCACAACTTATTGGCTACTTCTTTTCTCCAATTTCATCATATCAAACAAAACACAACCAACATAAATCCAAGAAAAAGATAAAAGAGGCACATCATTAGTAATGAGGGACTAATTGGGTCCCCAACAAATGAGGTGAACGAGTTTCTCAGCCCTCTCTGCCTTCCTTTTTCTCCGTTTCTCGTCTCTGTTAACCTTCTTTGCAGGCTCGACGATGCTGGAAAACGTTCTGACATTGATAGGGTTGTCTGAATCTGATCTAGGTCTTCCCTGAGGGGGCTTTATCATCGTCCCTTTGGAGTTGTAGTCCACAATCCCTTGGACTGCTCTCACGCAGATTCTGCTTATGTGCCTCAAACCCATCTTCTTCTTGCTGATAAATTCAATTAAACACTAATCTCTGATGACGAGATTAAACCCTAATCGATCGATGGTTGAATGATGGTATGGGGTTGGTCCGGTTTTGCTTTCCCCATTTAGACATGCAAAATAAGGTGAGAATTTGGAGTGATTATTAGTCCGGGTATGGACAGATGGAGCAATATGATAATATGATTGGTAGAGAAAGTAAGATATTATTAGTTAAATATTTTGGGGTTAAAAAAAGTATAAAAAGATAAAATAGGTTATATAAGTTAATAAGATAAAATGTCACATTTAAATCATAATCATTACACTTTTTTTCTCACAAAAAGAAAAAAAAACCTAAAAATAAAAATCAAACAAGGCTAAAAAAGTCCCAACACATGAAAGTTGGCTACCGTAGTCAATGCCAAACGAAGCTTAAGTATTTGTGTTGAGTGATTGAAAATTTGAAGGGGTATAATGAATAGTGTGGGGATAGATTTTCTGAATACCAACACGTGGCCAAGATGACGCCGACATGTCAGCTAAGATGCCACATGTCCTGGTCGTGACGCCGAGGTGATCTCGGATAGGCCGAGGTTATCTCCAAAGATATAGAAATCCGGGATAAACGGATAAGGGACAAGAGTCCTAGAATGAGGAATAACTTCAGTCTGGATAAGGATAAAACTCTTAGGGAGTTTATCTTTATCTATGGGAGAGTCCAAGATAAGCACTGAGCAAAAGTCCATTGAAACTAGGCTTCTATTTGGACTAAGATTGGGTTAACTATAAAAGAAAGGCATCTTCATGGGTCTAAGGTACGCAATTTACATTCGGAACAGTAAGTTAAGCTCAATTGATTATCTTTGAGATATAACTGACTTGATCATCGCCCCCGGGTGGACGAACCACCGCCGGAATCTCTTCTTTCTGTTGCAGGGCAGTCAGGCGCCATCTATTCTGCTAGTGCTCTCTAGCTGAATACTGAGTTGGTAGTGTGGTCAGAAATTTACTCACACAATTTGGCGCCGTCTGTGGAAACGAAAGGAGAATAGATGGCCAACGACGAACATAAAGAGAAGGTTGGGGACGACACCCCTACTGAGAGTGGGAAACATATTAACCTTGGCGTCGAAGAAAACAACTACAACGAAGAAACTCGTGATAAGAATCACGGAGAAGAGGACGTTGGCCAGGAGGGCGACGTGCCGAAGAAATCAGACCGAAGCAAGTATTATAACGAGGACGACTTCCAGCCACCGTTCCCGTCACAAGATACGCCGATTCCAGTAGCCAAGAAAGATGCCCAGGTAGGAGGGCAAAAGACAACTCCTACGACTCCTCAGCATGATAGGACCAAGGAACATTCTCACTGGCCTTCAAGGGAGGTCGGACGAGGAGAATCAAGAAGGGGAGATTCACAGAGGACACATCGCACCAAGGAAGCTAACTCCAAAGAACATCGGCATGTTCAGGGGAAGGACCTCTGTTTCGACGCGACCAATGGAGGGAGGTCCAAAAGGACTCGCAATGACACAGGAAGTAGTGCACCAAAAAAGCTGAAATCCGGAGATAGCAGAGCTCCTGGACGAACCAAGGAGGATCTGAGGGATTACCTCCAGAGAAAGCGACAAGATGCCAAGGTAACCTCACCTGTCAAGCCGAGATAACATTGGATATGAGAAGACAAGAGCTTAGCCCAAGTAAGCCGATCCCGAATTTCAGATCTCGGATCCCAGAAAACAAGATCTCGGCCTAAGATGATTAAGTCCGAGAAGAGAAGAGTAAACCGAGATTATGTTTAACACTTGTTGAAACTTGAGAAAAGTTTACAAGTTGAAATTAAATCGAGATGATGTTTAACACTTGTTGAAACTTGAGAAAAGTTTACAAGTTGAAGTTAAACCGGAGTCATGATTAAAGGAAGGAATGATATAGGTTCCATCACCTCAGGATGTCGAGGTAATAGAACCTAGGGGGTAGTTGTGGGGACATAATTTTTGAATGACAACACGTGGTCGAGGTGTCACCGAAGTGCCAGCCGAGGTGCCACGTGTCTTGGTCATGATGCCGAGATGAACTCAGCTAAGCCGAGGTTATCTGTGAATATGTCGGAATCCGAGATAAGCGAATAAGGAACAAGAGTTCTAAAATGAGAGAAGACTTCAGTTTGGATAAAAATAGGACTCTTAGAGAGACTGGGAGTCCAATGTTAGCAGTAATCCTAAGTCCATTAGAGCTAGGCTTCTATTGGGACTAGGATTATGTTGGCTATAAAAGGAAGGCACTCCCATGGGTCTAAGGTATGTCTTTTATACTTTGTCCAATGAGTTTAGCACTATTTTCTATCTTTGAGAGATATACTGACTTGATCGTCGTAGTACCCCCGTGGTGGACGAGCCACCGCCGAAAACTCTTCTTTCTGTTGCAGGTCGTTCGGGCTTACTCTATTTTGCCGGTGTTCTCCAGTTGAGTACTAAGTTGGCAGTGTGATCGAAAATTGACACACGCAACAAGATAATTTTTATTTTAAGTAAAAATAAGTGGATCGTCTGGTGGTTATAAAACCGGCAGAATAGTTTTGGAACCATAGCATCAATTCTGGTCGATCCATTTTGTGGCCATTATTTATTAATTGTTAGTTTATTTTCTTTATCACACAACTGTAATTCAAAATTCATTACTAATCAATATGGGGCAAAAATAATTAGGAAGAAAAAAATGAAAGATGCTCCTAATAGGAGTGCTCATACAACCGGTTGAGATCATGACCATCATCAAAGAAATCATATTACTATTAAATATCATTGATATTTAAACCATGTATCACTTATTTCAATAATTAAGCAACAAATTTAAAGTCATA